CATATACCTAAGGGCGATTAAATTAAGAAAAGTATGTGCATCAGGTGAGTCAATACTAATTCAGAATACCTAAAATGAGTAAGCTCGGAATTTTAAAAACTGGTCCTATTGTCCAAACAAGAATACCTAGTTATCAAATAATGGAACATATCAACCATGCAATAAGAAAATAAACAATGGCATTACTGGAAAAAAGGACGAAATTGCTAGACAATAACCACCTCACGTATACACAGACATTGGACAGAGCTTGGGACAGAGGCAGTTTCTACATAAATAGAAATCCAACCTTGTTTTGTCGTTTCTGCTTCTGACGTTTTTCTTGTTATCAGCAGGACACACAGCACAGCTCCGCCGTTTTAAAATGCGACTTGTGTGGTCAATTATAAAGACCGGTGGTCGACGAGCAACATGTGCCATTGTGTTGCCTGTTGGTATTGCGATTTAGTGGGAATGTGTGGCTGTCTTAGCTCTTCGCGACATGCCTGTTTCTTTCAAATATTGCCGTTATTGCATCAATCATGCCTTGCAAGATAGAAGTCAGAGCGTCACTTACATACACCATTCCTTACTTTGATGCATCACAGTTGTTACCTTATTACCATTAATTTCATAATATCTTTAAAATGTAAATGTGAGTTTCTATTCATAAAATGTAAATATAATTGATTACTGATTGCATTGCAATACCCAATTGGTACTGAGTATTTTAGTGAAATGGCAGTGCCAGTTACACACATTGCTCAATACTGCCGTACTGCCTACGTTATAAAAAAACGTGTTCGCCTCCCTCACTTACCACTTACTTACCTTGCAATGCATCGCCGTCGTCAACGTCCTTCGCACCACATACGCCGCGCGTAAATCCCGTACTATGGCCACTCATCGGGAAACCCCCACACTTCCCAGGTAGCTGGAACAGGTGCCAGGGAGAGAGGAATGAGAAGAGGAAGAGGCGACGGGAGAGCGACCGAATGGAGGACAGTTTTTGTGGCTGCCTGAGGCCTCTCGTGATCAAGGTCGCGTGAGGTTGCAGTGCCGCCCCGCACCCCCCGCGGCCCGGGGCCTCAGTCCGACCCGGAGCTAAGGGTTTACAGCGATTTAAATGCCGTCGGGAATGTACGTACCTGCAGTAAGGTATATCATGGGTGCGGTGGATGTAGGGGTTCGTTGTCCCCATGGAGATATGACTTATGCATGATGAGCTTCCATATTTAAGTTCTGGTGGTTGTCTTCGTGTAAACATTTTATGAAAGCATTTCTCATTTTGATTTATATTTGTTAATTTGTCATCGGATCATTGCTAAAGAAAATGAATATTTTTTTCGAACATTCTACGGATGCGAGACTATCGCACGTAACATTTTGGCTTACGATTTTTATTTTCTAAAAGCGATTAAAGGCACTGAAAAATGTGCCAATCCGTTTGAAAGATACATTTACTAATATTTAAATGCTAAGGCATCCGGGTCATGTTTTACATTTTGCTGAAATGGCTGTCAATGTTCCATGTTTTTGGCATCAAAATAGACAAATAGCAATGATCAATGTACAGATCAGTTGCGTTACATGCACTATGCCGGTCGGTGTGATGCAGACGGTCGCTGCAGAGAATACAATTGTAGCGGGGTTTCGCGGCGTTGCGGAGCTAACCGGGCAGGCGTCTTTCGATAGAGATGAAGAGAGCTCTGTCGGTGCGCTCCTAGAAGCCCTTCTCTGTGTCCAGCCCCTCGCGAACCCGTTCCGACTCTGTCTTTACATTCTCCGGGGCGATCAATCATCGGAAACACATAGGCCAGGGTTAAGGAACGGGAGGAGAGATAAATAATAACCCATTATCCTTGATCACGTTGAAATAAGAACTCAACTCTACATAACCCAAGGTCCCACTCTCAAACAACAGCGCCCTTCCTAGCTTGAGGGTCATCTCCCACCAGATATATGTATCAATCATTCGTCCATTTATCCATCCCCTTACAACCCTGCCATTCGTCCACTTATACCTCGTAATTTACCAGAGCTGACCATCTCCGGTCCCTCCCCTTTTTCCTAACTTCCCCCGGTGGTGCTAGGGCGCGCGCAAAGTCGTTATCGAGTCATTGGCCTTAAATTTCATTTAACCATTATCCCTTCATAACCACAATGTTCCGTACATCAGACAAACGCCTCATAATGCTCACGCTACACAATTAGAGATACGACCCACCACAGATTTCGGCACTCGACCCTCGCCTTACGTGACTTATTGCGGTCCATCCCATCACCATGTCGAACTACCTACACAAAAAACATAAATGTCCTTCGGCCAGCGGTTCCGAGACTACGGCTCGCAGGACACTGTGTAGTCCGGTTTCCGCGGGGGACTTATTTGAAATTTGAGACCGGGGCTGGGTAACTAAGGTCCGTCCGGGCTGCCTGCGTCGTCTCCGTATAGCCGCGGTTTTCGGGCCAGCCCCCGGCGACCGAAAGGGATTAGTCGTTCGTCGGCTTTACACGAATCCATGACTACCAGTTATGCCAAATTGCCTATAAGAAAACGAACACTAAGCGTACCACGGCCCGCGGTGGGCTTATCTAAACTTTGAAACCGGGCTGGGTAACTAGGTCCGTCCGGGCTGCCTGCATCGTCTCCGTATAGCCACGGCTTTTGAAACAGCACCGGCGACCGAACGGGTTAGCCTCCGTTGGCTTCACACAATCCACGACTACCAGCGTTATAGGTGCCCGAAGCCCTATCTATCCGTTGCTGGTAGTTAAGCTGTCGTCACAGACCTATCCGAAATGACCGCTGCACGGCCGGAGTAAATCGACTGACAGCGGGGTGGCCAGTACCGACTTACCGCGATCACCCGACTCGCATGCTTTGGTATTTAATGTTCACCCCCGTCCTGCAGCATCACACGTTTCTTCGCGGGACATTACTTAACCGGCGGCATACGTCTCCTCGCTGGGACGCCTGGGGTCCTAACCATCTCCGAAACTACCTACGTCGCTTATCGAATGTCATCCTGCGCTGATCACTCAATGGACCGATAGCGGACCTAACCTATCTTTTAAAACCGGGCGGGGTCACTAGGTCCCTCCGGGCTGCCTGCATCGTCTCCGTATAGCCACGGCTTTATGGGGCCCGCGCCAGCAACCGAACGGATTAGCCTTCGTCAGCTATGCACTCATCCTCAATAATCGATCCTCAACTCGCTCTCATCCTTTCTCTTCACTTCGCGACTTATTGCACGTATCCAGGGCTTACCCAAGCGAGGCCTACTAGCTAGTGAGGTCTATCCGAGCTGAGCTTCATTCAGGAAATCCGATTCCTCTACGTGTACAGTCTTCTTCCATTTCACTCGCTTCTCATCTCCCTCCTAACCCGTAGCCGCGTCGGTGGACTTTCCACGCACAGGGGCGTGACGTGCATCATCTATCTCCCCGGTTCCGCAATCCCTATTCATCAGATGATTATGCAATTGGACAGGTGCGACTTTGTATATGCGTGGTGCTTGTGTGCGGGACATTGGTGAATTGCTTAGGAGGTAGTACCAGGAATCCACTGGCACGGGTTATGTCAAGGACACTTGGGATATGGTAAGGTAGGAAATGGGTTAGCCGCCTCAGCAGCACATGGAATTCAACCAGTGGAACCCACCAGTGTACAATGCGTTCGGTTAGGTCCAATGTGCGTGCACAGTCCTTGTATTCGAACCGTTGGATAATTTGATGAGGAAATAGTGCCAGGAATCCACTGGCACGGGCTATGTCAAGGAATTTTGGAATATGGTGACGTAGGAAATAGGTTAGCTGCCTCAGCAGCACTTGGAAATCAACCAGTGGAACCCACCAGTATAAAACGAGTTCGGTTAGGTCCAGCATGCTTGCAGAATCTTTGTATTCGAACTGTTGAATGATTTGATGAGGAATTAGTACCAGGAATCCACTGGTACGGGCTATGTCAAGGAATTTTGGAATATGGTGACGTAGGAAATAGGTTAGCCGCCTCAGCAGCACTTGGAAGCAACCAGTGGAACCCACCAGTATAAAACGAGTTCGGTTAGGTCCAGCATGCTTGCAGAATCTTTGTATTCGAACTGTTGAATGATTTGATGAGGAAATAGTGCCAGGAATCCACTGGCACGGGCTATGTCATGGAGCTTTGGAATATGGTGACGTAGGAAATAGGTTAGCTGCCTCAGCAGCACTTGGAAATCAACCAGTGGAACCCACCAGTATAAAACGAGTTCGGTTAGGTCCAGCATGCTTGCAGAATCTTTGTATTCGAACTGTTGAATGATTTGATGAGGAAATAGTGCCAGGAATCCACTGGCACGGGCTATGTCATGGAGCTTTGGAATATGGTGACGTAGGAAATAGGTTAGCTGCCTCAGCAGCACTTGGAAATCAACCAGTGGAACCCACCAGTATAAAACGAGTTCGGTTAGGTCCAGCATGCTTGCAGAATCTTTGTATTCGAACTGTTGAATGATTTGATGAGGAATTAGTACCAGGAATCCACTGGTACGGGCTATGTCAAGGAATTTTGGGATATGGTGACGTAGGAAATAGGTTAGCCGCCTCAGCAGCACTTGGAAGCAACCAGTGGAACCCACCAGTATAAAACGAGTTCGGTTAGGTCCGGTATGCTTGCAGAATCTTTGTATTCGAACTGTTGAATGATTTGATGAGGAATTAGTACCAGGAATCCACTGGTACGGGCTATGTCAAGGAATTTTGGAATATGGTGACGTAGGAAATAGGTTAGCCGCCTCAGCAGCACTTGGAAGCAACCAGTGGAACCCACCAGTGTGAAATGCGTTCGGTTAGGTCCAGTGTGCGTGTAGAATCCTTGTAATTGGCCGTTTGCTAATTTGATAAGGAAATAGTACCAGGAATCCACTGGTACGAGCCATGTCAAGGAACTTGGAATGTGGTATAGCAGGAAGTAGGTCAGCCGCCTTAGCAGCCCTCGGAAATCAACCAGTGGAACCCACCAGTATGAGACAAGTTGGGTTAGGTCCAGTGTGCATGTAGAATCCTTGTAATTGTGTACTGTGTAAAATAAGCAGATAAAGAAAACTGATCGTTGTAAATTACTGTGACGAGCCAGACACCTTGAAAACGACCGCTCTCCCGACTGTGTGGCTGGCATATGGCCTGTTATGTTCTATCCTCCGGTCCCTGCCCTTCATCACTTGTCACACTCGTATTACGATATTTACAAGTCCCATTTATTTACATTCTCCCTGACACAACGCGTTTCATTCCTTTACATGCCAAATTTTACGAAACGTTCTGGGACCAGGCCGTCCAGCACTTGGAACTCGCACGCCGCGCGGTGCGGTACAAAGTCGCGTCGCCCGCCCCTTTCCCGACTCCCCACGGAGCATAATCCCCTCCATCCGCCTTAATCACCACGGGGCGCCGGATGAGGGTCCATTCCACGTCGGCACGCGTCTCGCACCACGCCCATAGTTAAATAATTGACCGAAATCGGATTGTTAAATTAAGCTACCTAGACTGAAGGTTCTCAAAATAAATTGAACTACCTTAACTGAATGGCCTAATTTATTGCGCAATGACACCAAAAAAAAGGAAACATAATGTGGCTCACATAGCAGTAACGAAGGGGGGGGGGGTGATTATTTGAAGGATTTAGGGACTAGGTGCGTGCCCGTGATCACCGTGACCTTACTTGAGATGGAGTCGCTGACATGATGGCCGTGTCCGTCCAGCGCCCGGCCAAGCGGCCGGGGCCGCCGCCGGTGCCGTGATGCCAGCCGCTGGTGTCTCGTGGGCTGTCCACGATGTCAGATGTCAGCCGAGAGCGAAAAGCGGCGTCGAATGCGTCGTCCGAGAGAGAGCCAGAGACGCGGAATGCCTCGTCCGAGAGAGAGCCAGAGAGCCGCGGAATGCGTCGTCCGAGAGAGCTTTTCAGTTCCGTTTCATCAACTTATACTTCTGATGACGTCATACTTCAGAGGGCCGGGCAGCATCACCTTGTCCAATCTCCGTCCTCCATTCTCAGAAGCTGCACTCGGCTCCGCCCTCGAAAGTTCGTGATTTGCTGACAAAGTTCGGTTCCCCTCCGGCCATGGCAGTCGCACCCTTTCACGCAGCGATCGGGTGGAATTCGCCGCCGGCGCTCACGGCGCCTGAGGCGCCAGGTGGCGGGCCTGGCCCTCTGCTCCCCTTGTTTTGAAGTCAGGTCCGGCCAGATGTCCTATGTTTTGTCGTTGGCGACCGAGTTCCATTTCATCCTGTTTTCGTACAAGCCGGGTCGGTCTCCGCTCCCCTTTCTTGTTTTGGTTCAAATCAGGGCCGGTCTGCACTCCCCTCTCCTTGTTCTCTGGCGGGGTGCCGAGCGTGGGACAGAGTCTTGTTTTCCAAAGGTTAAACTGATTAATGGCTCGAGGCTGGCAGAATGGCGCGTTTCGGTATGCTATTTGTTGGCTTCAGATCCGGGTTCTCATGAAGTGGGGTGGTCATCTATAGAGGACCCCTGTTTGTCAGAGCCGACTGCGCCGTCTGTGTGGACGCCAGCTGGGACGGAGAGAGGGTATCACAGCCGATTTAGCCGGCTGACCGTGTCTGTGCGGCGCTCGCAGATGGCCGTGTTTCAGCTTGTGGCACAGCTTGCAGTTCAGCATGAAAGATGAAAAAATGTAACGCATCTGCGTTACACAATCGTTCTCGGCTGGGCGGCACTCGGTCAGTAGCCCACTGGCCGTCTCAGGGTCATCAGGGGGAACATCGCACCTTGTCCAGCCGCGCCGGGAGGGGACGGGATGTTCCAGGACCGTCACCACGCGGCTGGAAGTCCCAGCCGGGCTGCTGCCGGTTCAGGGCCGGCCCTGACCCGAGGCGCCGCCGTGCAGAGGGGCAGATAAAGGCGGCACCTGTCCGCTGGCCGCCAGTGGATACCTCAGAGGCGTGCAGGTGACTCGCTGCAGAAGAGACAGAACATACTGAGACAGCGAACAGGTAGTGTACGGGATACGTCACTACGTGTGCCGCTTGCCTAATGACTTGCACAGTAAAGGTTTAAGTAAAAAATGCATTTAACTTTCAGTAAAGCAACCCTAACTTTGGCCGTTTTAGGAAAGCACCCACTCCGATCAAAGGCTAGCTAAGAAATTAAGCTGCCGCTTTCTCTGATAGTAAAGTTTAATACAAACACTGTAAAAATCATTATCGTCATAATTTACCTGAGGCTTCCCTAGGTTACCATTTCTGTTTTCGCTCCTGCAGTCTTCACATCCAGCCCGCGTGATCTTCTTTCAGGATGAAGCTACTGCTGTTGTCTCTGAGTCTGGTGGTCGTGCTGGGCGAGCACGAGGACCGTCACGCCTTGAGACACGCCCAGAGCTACCCGGACAGCTACTACCCAGATCGACACTACCCGGGCCCCTACCCAGACCCCTACCCGGGCACCGGCAACCCTTACGTGCGCCCCTCCGGCTGCAAGTACGTACAATCATAATTTTTATGTTCGGCCAGTCCCCGCTAGCATCATGAGTGGCGAGAAGACTAAAAATGGTTGAACAAAAATGATAGATATCCAAAACACGCTAGCTTATCGATCATATAAAATAAAATGAAAACATTGAAGCCTCGTCTCAGACCTTACGAGCAGTATGAAAATTATTTTGGACCTGAAGTGTTCCAGTGACTATTTCCACCTGTGCCCTTTCTGACACGTTCCCATTACTGCTCGACAGAAACTGGTGCCGTTATGACGACAACTACCGTCCCGGCCTCTTCCACGGCCGAACCCGGTACTACTGCTGCGACCACAGCGCGCCCGTAGTCTACCCCAGGCCACCGTACCCCTACCCGACGCGACAGAGTAAGTAGTCATGAGCGTAACCCTTTCTGAAACACCTGAGCTTGTGGTCTAGCGGCCGGCATTTTACGAATTTGGTGTGAACCGATTGAAAGGGCTCTTGATGACGACGGGAGAGTCAGGTGTCGTCTCAGTTTAGAAAATAGCACAGCTTCACGATTCCGGAACTTTTGTGAGCAATGAGAATCTATTCAAAACTGTCAGGGACATTTTTAATTTTTCCATTGCTCAATCAAATCAAAGATCTCCCCTCTGAAGGTCATGACCCTGAACCTCTGCACGGGGTCTTAGACGTGCACATATTTATTCAGCGTCAGGGACATACCCCGGCCTCCTATAGTCATGTTATGCACGCTGATAGAACTAACATGGTCTCGCATCCACGTGAAGTTCAATGGCGACGCTTAGCATCGTCTGTCAGCCCTTTGTTCTCCCTGATCAATGTCAAGCACATTGCTGCCTTCCAAAACCTTGTTGCATGCAATATGCATAAGCAAGATCGGTGCAAAAGTTTGCATAGCGGATTTCACTACCCCTTCGAGAAAAAATATTCAGTGATCAAAAGGGCCATTGAATAGGGGCGCTAGAGTATACATTGTGTATTGGTGCTGCAGTTGAATAGAACATGCTCCATCGAAATGACTGGTTGCCATAAAACGCGTTGCTGGTGTCAATGCCCATATGTTCGTAATATGTTTTGTCTGGGTTCAGGTCGACTGATTGACGCAAAGTTCCCTACCCCTACCCCCACCCCTACCCCCACCCCTACCCGTACCCGTACCCCCACCCCCACCCGTTCGGCCCTCTGCGCCTGTAGAGATCTGCCCGCCGTCCCCTGCGGTGTGCACGCGAGTCTACTCGGCCTTCGGAGCACCCACCGAGTGCTACTCGGACTCTGAGTGCTCCACCGTCGACCTCTGCTGCTACGACGTCTGTCTCCGGCACAAGACCTGCAAGACGGCCGACTACACCGAGGGCCCGGTGCGGCCGCGTCCGGTGCCCTACCGTCCCCGGCCCGGAAACATTTTCACAGGAATCATCGGCTCGCTGCTGGGCCGCAGCTCCTTCGATGAGCCTCACTCGGTCGTTGCCGCCGACCAGCCGCAGGACGTCGTGGCGCTGAGAAGCGCCAAAGCCGACGATAAAAAGAAACACGAGTAGGTTCTTTTGGGACTGAGACGCGTATTTATTGCTGCTGTCGCAATGTGTTCTGCAGATGTGCTGTCGATGCTGCCAGCAAAGTACATACATTGTCAAGCGATATGAGCTGTCACCTGTTTCAATTCGGGTGTTTCATCAGCATTTAGGCGAAAATGCCAACTCGGGCGGGGTGCTCCGACGCTGCCATTGTAATGCTTCAAAATGATGCAAAGGGATCGTGGCATTTCTTGCTGCCTGTCTGTGACATCTGAATGGCGTGGGAATCATTATAAATGACAGAAGTGTCGCAGAAGAAAGACACGGTGCCAATCGGACATTGCTGTTTAATAAGCGCGCTTATTATTAAAGTCACAAACAGGTGTTCACTGTTCCGTGGATGAATGGTGTCCATGAGAATAGAACAGTGTGTACTGTATTGAGGTGTGATTGAATATTGTCGAAAACAATGCAACTGTATGGCCCGTACTTGCTGTCGACTGACCCGATAGCTAGAAATAAAAAAGCGTTTTACTTTAATCTACAGTTTGTAACTTGCTATCCTGTCAATCATCACTTGATTATGGTGTGCGCCCTTACATACCGTTTTAAATAAAACTTAATAAAAAATTAACTAGAAAATCCGTTGGTTTATTAATTGATTATGAGAAATGGATTACTTGATGTCATATTACGGTGATGACATTTTGCACTGGTCATAATACTTAATCGCTCTTCATAAGTACTTTTGCTTTCCTGTTATAAGACATACCTTGAAGCTGGAAAAGTAAATAAATAGAAATTAAGGCCATAACAAAAAGTGACTGATCACTGTTTGCCTCGTTTTGGAGTTCTGCTGGCCATAGCTTTTTTCGATTTAGCACCACGCCTCACGGGTCTGGTGCATCCTTGTTTGATCTTGCGTTTCAGAGGTGTGCCCGAGACCCTACTGGCTGAAGACGTGGTAGAAGCTGACCTTGACCGTTTGACGCACGACTGAATTTTGGCCCGTTTTGTTCTAAAAAGACGTGGATGGGGAGAGTTGCGCCGTTTGAACTTTGGACGACTTGGTTGTCCAGACGTAGATGGCATTGTCTCTTGAACTGCCTGATATCTAGGTCTTGATCTATCAAGCCTTGCATTACCCGATCCCGAAGCCCAGCTCGATATGGATGAGCAGGAACGACTCTGTAAAGATCTTGGCACGAAATCAGACCATTGTGAAAGTGACGTGTTTGACGGTGAAGACGAGGAATCATCTGGTACCGAAAATCGCTTGAGCTGTTTCACGTGAGAAGGAACAACTCGTTTTGACGCTGATGATTTGACAGCATTTCGAATTAGACCTACACTATGTTGCTCTTTTTCGTCACTGCAACCTTGTGCTGACAGCTTTTGAACTTTTTCCCTCGACTTCTTCGACAAGGTCTCAGAAGCTTTCAAATCGGTTGCTTTCTTCGGTGCTTTCTTGTTTCCTTTGGCAGGAGTCGATGTTGTTTGTTTTCTTAATCGAGCTTTTGGTTTTAAACTCCTCTTAGCTTCTTTCTTTTTCTTTAGTTCCTGAGTTTCGAAGAGAAAATTCAGCTCATTACGAATAGATCCTGTTGAGACTGGCTGAACTGAAACTGGACGTCTTTTGGAGCCTCCGTCCCCGGCCATTTTCCCTCTTTTTGCCATGTTTTCAGATTGTGAAGAAGTTGATAAATTTAATTGGTGACCAAAGACAATTAATGTAATATGGACATTTAGACAAAACACAAACTTATGTCGAAATAATTTTGAGACACATTAATTTTTCATAAAAAGTGGATACGCACGGGCAGTTTTGAGCTACGTGCGCACCATATGCAGAGACTTGTGTATTTGCTTTTGAAAATTTTAGTTCAGCTACCGCGCAAAAAAGAACATGTGGCTAAAGATAAGCAAGTATTACAAGATCATCAAATATTTAACGGTTTATTTTAGCGACCCTTTATAACCTTCATATCAGCCCAGACCGCGCCGGCCGCCGGGGAGGGCGTTTTACGCCCTTCGTCTTAGGTTTTGTATTGGTACCTAATTTACGTCAGCAGACATTCCACGACAGGGTGGCTATTTCCTGTCAAATGTCCATACGCACATTCATTCCACTTAAAGAAAAGTATCTTTTACAAGTATAAAAGAAAACGCTACAAAAAAACAACAAAGAAACGCAAGAAAAAATGTTTTACGCGAAACAAAATATACATGAAGAATGACAAGCTGCCCTTTACAGTTAATTTATTCGGTTCATTCGACGACTCTATTCATGTGAAATCAGTTCTGTTATCTACCTTGCTAGCTTTGGATCTAAAATTTCTTGAAATTTGTGCATCAAATGTTAATGGAGATGAAAGGCATTCACAAAAACGTTAGATTATTTTAACTCTGGAGACTAAGTGCATTGCGCTGAGGTTCAAGCTCAGTTGAATCAAAGGAAGCATCAAATCGCAACTTACCAAATTAATCAGGAAAACCACAGCCGCATTTTCCTTCAACAGTCAGCCTTCTTGTCGACTTTGAGTCAGCTCAGACGTCACGAATTTCAGCATAATGTCAGCTCAATTACGACTATCATGCCAAAACCCATGAGTCCGATCTGCTCTCGGCGGACGGAGCCTCATGCACCATCAGGCAGATGCAAACAGTGTGCAAGGTTAAATATGTGGGGACTCGTGCCCCACTGGTTGTCGCCGTTATTAACCTAAGACATCGCTGTCATGCACGGGTTAACGGGTCTCTTACCTCACCTTAACTTAAAAAAATTTACAATGGTGAGCAAACGATAGATGAAACGGCATGGAAAAGGTGACGCTAATTTGTGAAATATTTGCGGAAACACGAGGATGTGAAAACGATCACGCCATTTTATCCATCTGATTTATTACCTGCAGATGAATCTTTCATGTTCATATTCCTAGCTCGTTTTCTTCCAAATTGATGTATTTCAATTAAACATTTTATGCATGGGAAGGAAAACTATCCAATAGGATATTATTGGAAGCCGAATTTGTCTTCTCCAATCAAAAACAATAAATAAAAAGGGGAGATCGATTAGTTTCAGTGAATGAATGGCCACCAGCGGATGAATGAATGTGCCGGGTTATGCAATATTTCAATCACACTTCACACTGTTCTTAACTGGGCGTGAGCGAGAATGTAAGGTTTGTAAAGGTTTTCGCGGTGAGAGCCGGCGTCAGTCCATCCGTACTCTTCAAGTTAGTCAATCCGCCTGTTCTCCGCGCCAAACGCTGAGCGATTCACGGGATGGTGAGATTGCCGACTTGTGGCAGAGAGCATGGCATCAAATCCATAGTTTCGAGCATAATATCAGTTGAAATAACGATACATTACACCCGAACCCATGAACTTTGAACCAATTGCTGAAGCGGCTTCGCCAAAGGCTGCACCGGTCCGAGAATGGTGAAACTGGTGGGATCTCAGTCCGCGCAGATGTGAGCGAAGAATAAAAGCAGATGACAAAGCTAAAGAGAGAGTGCTTACGAGCCAGAGAGCACACTGAGATAAAAACAATATAAAAGAATCCGGTGAAGTGTAATTGGGAAATTAAAAATTACAATAATAGAATGAACAACGATTTGAAAAGCGTTATGCACAATTTATGTATCATGATTCGCTATAACTTACTACGGTTCGGACAAGCTGCATGTTTCATTTGATCAACAAATACTGAGATGTTTTTCATCGATGTCAAAAGTGCTCTTGTTTCGACACCAGCGAAGTGCGTCAGCGAAGTGCGTCCCCCTCTCGAGGTCGCTGCGGCTGCTTACCTGTCATGGCGGAATTCCAAGCTGCTGCTCAATTCTCCGAGCCGCCGACAGTTCAGACTCCAGATCCCGTCTGTACTGTGCCAGTTCCGTGACCCGTCAGCAGCCCTCCGGCTCCCTCCAGAGTCGGACGATGGTCTGACGAGTGCCGGCGGGGTGCCCCGAGGGCGTCGCTGCCGGCGGGCAACCCGATCCGGCGACGCCAGCGGGCGTCACCCGGTGCTGAGGCGGCAGACGGACTTTGTACCGGTCTCCGGTTCGGGCAGCGGCGTCCTGCCATTGTTCGAGCGCCACCCCCGCTCCCCATCCCCACTGATCCAGTGAGCTCGACCTCTCAGATCGCCCAGCGGACTCCACCGCCTCTGTTAGGCTGAGCCAGCATCGCCAGACAGACAGACAGACAGACAGACAGACAGACAGACAGACAGACAGACAGACAGACAGACAGACAGACAGACAGACAGACAGACAGACAGACAGACAGACAGACAGACAGACAGACAGACAGACAGACAGACTGCGGCAGGCAAACAGCCGAGGAGACAGACGGGCGAGCAGACAGATCGACAGGCGGACAGACGACAGACAGACAGACAGACAGACAGACAGACAGACAGACAGACAGACAGACAGACAGACAGACAGACAGACAGACAGACAGACAGACAGACAGACAGACAGACGGACGGACGGACGGACGGACGGACGGAAGGACAGACGGAGAGCCAGACAGACAGACAGAGGGGCAGACAGACGAACAGAAAGTCGACAGACAGGCAGACAGACAGACAGACAGACAGACAGACAGAGGGGCAGACAGACGGACAGATCATCTGCGTTTGGACCTTTTTGGAAATGAATCGCGATTTAAAAAGTGAATTCCGTCAATCCAGGTTTTTGAAAGAGCTCCTTATCAATCACAAATGCAGGCCTTGGTGCTCGTATCACCCACCCGTGACCAAGGGTGCACACAAGGGGGGGCGGGGCACAAGGGCCTGTGCCCTCCCCATTCGAATTGAGGGTACCCATTCGAGGCGCCTCAAATGGTCCTCAAATGGGCCCCTTATCTTTAGACCGCAGAAAACCGTCTAAAAATGAGCTGAAATGGTGATTGAAAACCAGGAGGTTCCATCGGGGCCCCAGCAGGCCCATATAAGTCCATGTAGGGCAACTTTTTCGGCTGGGACTTGGGGCCCTTCGGCATGAGGGGGCCCAGTTTATACAGGTCATGCCCCTTCATTCAAAAATCCTGTGTGTGTGCGCCTACCCGTGACCATCGTCCGTGCCTGCCATCCGTGTTACCCCATGACCCGTGACACCACGCCACGTGTTGCCGCCGTTCAACGCTCCCAATGTGACTCCGGAGCCGGACTCGACGCTGTCTCCAGTCTCTCAGTGCTTTGGCGCCGTCTCTGGTAGAGGCGTCTCCCTTGTCTCTGGCGCGGTCTCCGGTGTCATGCTGTTACCGGAGACCGTCCGGGGCAGCTTGTCTCGTGCCGGGCAGGGGCCGCGGGGGAGGGGTGGGTCGGTGTCGTCGGTTTGACCCGTGCCGGGCTGGGGAGGGGGAGGGGTCGGGCTGGTGGCGTCCGGTCGCTCCGGGTCGGTTAGCTGACAGGCCAGTGGCTGCTAGTATCTGCCACACAGGCCCCGCTCCTCCCCTCGTCAGCTCCCTGCGCGCTCATGCGAAGTGTCACGTGAAATACAAAGTGAGACGTGGCATGCTGAGGCGTGCCTTATCTTTCTAGTTGAGGTTTATTTGCCATTGGGTCTACAGTGCATGGATATTTCTATCTCGCACTCCTCTGAGATGCAAAGATAAGAATTTGTTATCTCTGCATCCCTCTGAGATGCGAAGATAAGGTCTCGAGGGTTCATAGCTAAAAATCAAGAGTTCAAGTGATGATGGGTCAATAATCGAACCATTTTTAACGGTTATTTGTTATGAAGCTTATGAAATAAATAAAAAATACTCTAAATCTATTTTTACATAGATGAATACATTTGAATATGATATTTAAATTATTAAGAATAAACCTCAACATACAAAGGTATAGGATTCCTCATGGCTCACTCGTGGAAGATAGGATATCTTTTCCTCGCGTGTTACAGAAAAACCTCGCTCCTTCGTCGCTCGGTTTTTCAGTAACCCGCTTGGAAAAGATATCCTTATCTTCCACTCGGACCCATGAAGAATCCTCTATATCTTTCTAGTTGAGGTTTATTTGCCATTGGGTCTACAGTGCAGGGATATTTCTATCTCGCACTCCTCTGAGATGCAAAGATTAGAATTTGTTATATCTGCATCCCTCTGAGATGCAAAGATAAGGTCTCGAGGGTTCATAGCGAAAAATCAAGAGTTCATGTGTTGATGGGTCAATAACCGAACGACATTTTTAATGGTTGTTTATGGATAAAACTTATGAAATAAGAACAAACTACTCTGAATCTATTTTTACATAGATGAATGCATTTAAATATAATATTTTATTAATTAAGAATAAACCTCAACATAGAAAGATATAGGATTCCTCATGGCTCACTCGTGGAAGATCGGATATCTTTTCCTCGCGTGTTACAGAAAAACCTCGCTCCTTCGTCGCTCGGTTTTTCAGTAACCCGCTTGGAAAAGATATCCTTATCTTC